CCGCTAATCCAACAGCCAGCAGCTTATCACCTCGGCCGACTACCAGTCCCCCTAACGCTGATCAGATTTTGGCCCCGATTCCTCCCCCCCACTTCCCCCTCCCTCCTGCCCTGACAACCGTACTATTTTTTCTACCAACCCGCATAGCTTATTTGCTTGATTACAATAATAAATGTGAAGGCCTGACGAGAATTTATCGAAAACAAACGTATGTTCGCCAATTCATCTTCTGAATTTTTCAATGGAAATTTTCGCAGAATTAAGATATTGCAAAGAACGATGGTTAAAATGACGTAAAGAAATGCGGTCAGAAAGGCGCGTCATAATCAGCCAGACCAGGGCTGATAGGTTAGAGGACGAGCATATGTACAAGAAAAGTAATATCAAGGACGACAAGTACTCCCCCCTGTTCTTGGACAGGGAACACTGATGAGTATTATTGCGTCATGGCAGTTTAGGAGCACGTTTGATAGTTTATAGCAGGTTACACTGTGCGTCAGTGGGTCTGGCAAATGCTAGGACAAGTAGAGAGGAGTCGAATCATGTCCCACAGCTCAGTGACAGCAAAAGTATGACACAAAAATGATCCTAATAGGAAGTGGAACAAGTGTTTGCCATGCCCAAGGATTCGCATGAAAGGTCTCGGATTGGTTCCTAGGCAAAACAGGCTAAGTGTGCACAGACATACTCAATGAAGAAGCAGTAGTCTAACCCTCTGAAGGTTTTATTAACAATGAAGACTCATCAAATCGAAGTCGGTTAGGTAACCTGCCTACTGAATTGTGGGAGCAAGGAGTCAGCACACGTGTGTATTTTTTGTGCAGACGATAATAAATGCATCTTCTCATAAAATACTGGCGTCAAACAATATAGGACATAAAGCGCAGAAATATGCAAATATATGCAGAAGAAGATTACCGACGGCCTTATCTTTGTCGGTAATGTCCTCCTGCCTAGATCATCAGCCGCCTTGCGGCGTAGGCTCGAGTGTGAGCTCCAAAGGCACCATGGACGGACGAGTGTGCAGTCTAACTGATTGGTGTACGCCTTTCTGCCAAATGCAACTATCAAAAACTGAGAGATCCGGAAGGCCAAAGCGGTAGATTAGATAACATTTCAAAGGAGAAGCATCCTCCATGTTACCGTCACTGATGGAGGCTCTCCCGTACAGTTAAAATCGGAAAGTAAGCCAAAAGACTAAGTATTATTAAGTCGGCCAACCAGAGGTGTGTGTGATAAACTTTCAGTAGAACAAGTGGCAGCATACATAGCTGATTGGTCAAGAGGATTAGGGCATGACAGGCGTTATTAGGTATGTACACACATTCAAACACCTACGCCTCCTTCCACTTCCAATTTTCTTGAGATGGTCCAGG